GCCTGTCTTGGCTTTCTGTATGCCTTCCTCACTAAGTGTAGGCATTTCTAGTTTTTGATTTGAAGTGAAAGATGTGTGACTTTTCCTTTCACTTGAGTATTTAGAGGCCATTGTAGGGTTATTAATCAATATTGTGTCTTAAGAAATAGGAAGTTCTGGGGGTGGCATCTGTGGCTCAAAAGGGTAGGGCGCCAGCTCCGTATGCTGAAGGTGGCAGGTTCAAACCCATCCCCGACCAAAAAGAAAAGAAAGAAATAGGAAGTTCCGAAGAGAGGAAGAGATGGGGAACAGCTGGTTGGTGGAGCAGTCAGAATATACAACATTTATTAAGTTTGCCATCTTACGTCTTGCCAACAAAGCAAGACTTTGTCTGAAAAAAAAAATTAGAATATTATGAGAATGTGACTCCAAGACACAAAGTGAGCACAAAATGAGCACATGAGCTCACAAAGTGAGCACAAAGTGAGCACACAGGCCTATATATATACAGTTGGCCTTCCATATCCATAAGTTACACATTCTTAGATTCAAGCAAACATGGATCAGAAATATTTGGGGAAAATAAGAAATAAAAATAAATAGTACAACAATAAAAAATATAAATAAAACTTACAGTGTAACAAATATTCACATGTTGTATTAGGCATTGTAAATAATATAGAGATGATTTAAAGTATATTGGAGGATCTAAGTGCAAATATTGTATAATTTTATATATAAGGAACTATAGCATCTGTGGGGGCTCTGGAATCAGTTATACTACCTTCCTGCCAGGATACCTAGAAAAAATTGTGCAACCATGCATATAGCAACTTTTTCTGTTTTAAAATGCATATAACATGTTGAAGGGATTAATCAGTTATCTAGGCTGGCCACAGTGGCTAATGCCTATAATCTCTCACTTTTGAGAGACCCAGGGTAGAAAGATTTCTAGAGGCCAGGAGTTCAAGACTAGCCTGAGCAACATAGCAAGATGCTATCTCTACAATAAACAAACAAAAAAATGAGCCCAACTGGATGGCATGTACCTGGGGTGGGAGGTTCCCTTGAGCCCAGGAGTTTGAGATTATAGTTAGTTATAATCAGGCCAAAGTTAGAGAGGAATAATAATCATTACCTGGCATATATTGCAATCTTAGAAGTACTATTTTCTTACAAGTGAGCAAGCTGAGAAAGGTAGGTAACTTGATTAAGTTAGTACAGCTACTTGTAGGGCAGTGTTTCAAGCACAGGTCTGACTTGGAAGCTTATGCTCTGATTATGGGACCTCTACTTCCGTTAGATACTTACATTGACTTCAAAGCTTTTAAAATCTACTAAAATCGTATATAAATTAAAGGAAATTTAATGACCAATTTTTAACATTGACTATCACCAGATTAGTTGTGACCTGTATGCAATATCTGGCAAAAGATATTTTTTGCCATTTTTGGTAGGCAGTTGTATGGGCAGAAGCCGTAAGATATTTTAGATGTTTTCAAGGGATTTTTCTGTTTAACCCTTTTTAACTTGATGAGATTGAAGAGAAATGAAAAATTATATGTTACCCTCAAAAAAATCAATATTTAAATGTCATTTTGAAAATGTTTTCAGGAATTTGTAGGTCTTTGTACATTTGGTTATTAGAAGCTCAAAATGAAATATCAGGCTGGATGCCGTGGCTCATACCTATAATTCTAGCACTCTAGGAGACTGAGGTGGGAGCATTGCTTGAGTTCAGGACTTCAAAAATTAACCTGAGCAAGAACAATAGCCCTGTCTCTATTACAAATAGAATAGTTAGTTGGGCATAGTAGTACAGTCTCAGCTATTCAGTAGACTGGGACAGCAGGATCACTTTAGCCCAGGAATTTGAGGTTGTAATGAGCTATGACACCATTGCCTTGTAGCCTGGGCAACTGAGCAAGACTCTGTCTTAAAAAAAAAAAGAAGTCTTCCCTTTATATAAATGATCAAATACACATATTGGTAATCCAAAAATCAGTTTATTAAAGACTTAGATGTATCCAGGTAGATTGCTTTTCCATGGACTTAGTTTGCAATTTTCAATCTGCTTCTTTTCCTTTTGACTTTTGGATTGCTCTTTATGTGCTTTCTAAAATATTAGCTTGCGTTCTGTCCACTTTATCCTGTCTTAAACACATAACTATAGTGGGGGAGCTCCCTTTAAAAGAAAGTCTTTGTCTTTCTGTAATGTGAATGATTACTAACAACTGGGGATTTCTTAAGGATAGATGGAATTCCTATTTCTTTTAGGTGTATCCTAATCTTTTTTATTTTAGGTTTGGATTTCTCCTTCATTTCTCTTGCAGTATGCTTAATGTGATTTTTTTTTTATGTTATGAAAAAGAACAGCGAGCTAAGGAAGGGGGGAGAGTGTCAAATTGTTGGTCTAAGATCATTCAGCATTTTTAATAGAATAGATCTCACAACTCTTCAGTTTTAATGTCACAATTGCTGATCTTTTTCTTTAAATTACTGAACAAAATGCAAATTTTAAAGGAGATGCAAACAATTTTAAACTTCAGGTAAGAAAATGACTGTTCTTTTTTAGTGTCAGTTCTTAAATTGAATGCTTATTGAGCTGGGTGCTAGGAATCAAAATTAGGAAGAAGCTTTCTTAGCAGAAGTTATTAAAATGATCTACTCTTTTTATCATTTGATGTGCCTTATGCCTTTTTGATTTGTCAGAAAATAACATTTAGAATTTTAAATAATGTTATCTGGGCATGGCAACACTTTTTGAGAGGATCTCTTGAGCCTTAGAGTTTGAGGTTGCAATAAGCTATGATGATGCCACTGCACTCCAGCCCAGGTGACAGAGTGAGACCCTGTCTCAAAAAGAAAAAAAAAATCTTGCCCTAAGTAAAATTTTATATCTAACAATTAAGAGACAAAGAAGGGTAGTGACAGTGTATCAGTTCTTCCTTTGTCTTTACTCCTTATTGCAAATTGTGGTTTCTCTCCTGCTTGAGTCTTACAATGTGATTAATACCATAGCTGTTAGAAATGTAAGATGGCCAGGTGTGGTGGCTCACACCTGTAATTCTAGCACTCTAGGAGGCCAAGGCAGGAGGATTGCTTGGTCAGGGTTCAAGACCAGCCTGAGCAAGAGTGAGAACCTTTCTCTACTAAAAATAAAGAAGGAAATATATGGAGAAGTTCCAAATCTAGGAGTGCCAGCTTTGCGAATTTGGTTATAATAGAATTTTTATTCTGAGATAAAAAAATTTTTTTTTTGAGACAGAGCCTCAAGCTGTCCCACTGGGTAGAGTGCCATGGCATCACAGCTCACAGCAACCTCCAACTCCTGGGCTCAAGAGAGTCTCCTGCCTCACCCTCCCAAGTAGCTGGGAGCA